TTTTTACATACTTGTCTATACCTAGTCCTACTCCTCTTTTTCTTTTTCCGACCTTTAACACATTCTCATCTGAGTTTTAAAGAGAAAATACAATGATCCTGCCATCCTGCTAATCTCAATCGGCCGATGGCCAACAAGCTAACCACTATCCACCACCACTAATTGCATTTGCTATTTTGCTGTTATGTAAATATGTGACGCATTCTCGTCATGAGCCATGTTCTCTTGAGGATAATCTTTTCCACCTAACCACCATTCCTTCTGTCTTTTTCATTCAAAAGGTGCCTCTTGAATTTAATAATTTCCCATAAGAACCCCTCGATTTTCATCTATTTCCATAAGCGCCCCCTCAAATTCCACTCTGTTTTCATAAGCGCCCCGTTTAAATAAGCGCCCCGTTTGAATAAGCGCCCCTCAGAAAGTGCAAAAAATATTTTAAGTGCCCGGGCGCTTATTCGCGCGAGTACGGTACAGACCCAAATAATTGATGAGAAATATGTAAAGTACTTTTCTACAATGCTCAAAGTCATTGTTTATGTTCTTAACCTATAATGATTTTATTGTTAATGCAAAATATATTTCTAAGGACTTTTGTAGCAAAAACAATCGATTTTGCTTGTGATATTGATGATTAGACGACGTGTGATAAAAATGTTATTGAGAACAAAGATAACTGATAACGACAATTCTGATTGTACATTATAGTTAAACTGATGATGATGATGATGATGATGATGATGTAATGTAATGACGAAGATCATATAGATAATTATGAAGATAATAATATTGGTGTTGATAGGCAATTTTGGTGTTCAATGATAATGATAAGTGATTAAAATGATATCACTCAAAATACTGATAGGTGATGATAATGTTGAGTTCAAATTTGTATATTTATATATTTATTCTAAGTTAAATTGAATTGTATTGCTCGCTTTGTTATTGTTTTATGTTTGAGGGTCCCTTCAGGTCAGCATTGCTGTTTCGGGCCACCCTCTTGAAATATGGTTCAATAAATGAATAAAAATGATGATTAATAATGATGAATAATAATGACTATGACTATGATGAAAGTGATAAGATGATGATTGTATGATGATAGGAATGAAAGTATTTGAGTAAGTATAATTATGTTAATCATGAAGACAACGATGATAATAGTGTTGAATATAATGACAATAATTTATTATGTCAAACCTATGTCGTGAACTACCGGTATCTCTTGTTGAATATCTGGTGATTTAACAACACCTCTGTTTGAATTGCTGCGTCTAAAACAAAATAAAATGCGGTAAACACCTGTTATTTGCACACCGGTGAAATAAAAAAAAGTCGAGAAATGGATTAAACATTTTAACAATAATAATAATAATAATAATAATAATATAATATTATAATAATAAATGACAACACAACAGTTAGTTCGGTAGTGTGCTACTATCATCATCAGTTGCCAATATGTATTTCAAAAAGCAATCTTTTATACTAAGAATTATATGCTTAGCATGCCAAGAAATTGAGCGTATCTATTGAACAATACCGGTACACAGTATGAATAATAGTGAAGTAAAATCAGATTATATTTACGAGTTAAAGAATGAAAAAGTTACCTTTTTTTTTAGTGAAGGTTACATTATTTATTAGTATTTTTAATACTATTACTACCTGTCTCTTATACACATCTAGATGTGTATAAGAGACAGGCGGAAATATTATCAAAAAGACAGTATAACGAAATTAATGCATTTTTTTGTGTGTTTTTCACTTATTATGTACCAAGAAATGTAAATGTTATCAGTTGGATTAGGTGTATAGCCTGTCTCTTATACACATCTAGATGTGTATAAGAGACAGGCCTGTGCCAATATTTATTCGAGATAATACATTTCGAGCATAGTTCTTCATCAGGTAGTGACACAAATGTAAACAGTGAAATAAATAAGTATAAGTATATAACAAAAGATGTAACCAAACTACTTACCGTTCAAAATAAATAAATGCAACAATTCCAAATATTGCCACACATAAACCGCCAGCCAAAGCACCTATAACAGCACCTGAGAATAATAGAAATACAAAAGAAATTGAGCCGAGAATGGGTCTGTGCATAAATATAGGTCGGATGATACACTTAGTATAATAATTCGGTTTAGTTTCACGGCATCTCCGAAGGGTGTTGCAAGACATTTTTAGAGGTGTTTTGTTTTTTTTTTTTTTTTTTTAATTTTTTAATTTTATTATTTTTTTTTTTTGAAATCCCGTCTTGTCAATTTAACGGACCTTTTTGGAGTGTCAATCAACCAATTATAAAAGGGCCAACATTAAAATACTTGCTGACGTCGTATGTTTTGGCTGACGTTTTTGGGAACATTACCTAAGGGCGGGGCTTAGCCTGACGGGACTGCTAGTGTTTTCCAATTATAGACCTATTAACAAAATATATTGAAACCAACAAACAATCGAAATGGTCTCACTCACAGCACATGAATGATAAATAGAGCATTGTATGCTATGTAAGAAGGCAAAGCTTGAACATGCTTACTCGTTTTGTAAATGGTCCCAGGGTGTCTTTCTAACGATTAAGATAAAGAAAATATAAGTAATAATTTTGTCTACGTTTATTATACAATTAATGTAATGGTTATTTGTACCAATTTTAGAATTGTCGTTATTCGTAGACACGTTTTCAGTATCTGAGAAATCACCGTACCCCCTTTTCGTCTTCGCTGCTACCTAAAATACAAAAACAATAGCAGCAAAAACAATAATAACAATAATAACAATAACAACAACGAAAGCAATAATAACAATTATTAATAGAGAATAAATGATAACAATGATGATGATGATGATGTTCACGATGATGTTCGCGATGATAATAATAATATTAATAGTAATAATAATAATAACAAAATAATAATAATAATAATAATAATAATAATAATAACAATAATAACATTAGTTTTTGTTAAAAATGTCTCTGATTGTGATTGTTTAATTTCGATAAAAAAAAACTGCACTAAAGTGTTGTATTTACCAAAGATTTTGACGGGTGTATTTTATTTACAAACCTTGACAGAGTAGTCAGTATTCGGCAAGATATCTTCAGTTATCGATAGTGAAGTCTGTTTAGCATTCATTGTTAAATTGACAAAATCACTGTATACGAGCACATTGTATTCTAGAATTTTGCACGGATTAGCTTCAGGAGTTGTCCATTCCAATGTAATTGACGAAGACGTTGATGTTAAAGAAGTAATGTTTGGTTTACCGGGATCTGTGGTCGAGAATATTAAATACCCTTGTGTGTTCAGTAATTGATTATTAAACTCTAGTATGTTTATATTAGAGGCTTAATTTTAAGATATGCCTGATATGATGCTAGTGGTAAAATAAAGAAACAATCAATTGTTCAGTTAAAATATCTATATCATTTTATCAAATTGCATTTACAATAATAATATAACAATAATAATAATAATAATAATAATAATAATAAATGAATAATATTAAATAATAATTATAAATACAAATAGAGCAATAACAAGTCTTCTTAAAGGAAATCTTACAGTCCACATCTGAAAAGAGACTTTCATTATCAGATGCTCCATTCATGCCCAAATGGGATGCAAACACTGTAAACGTATACTGTGAACATGGTACAATTCCGTCATTGATAAGGACTTCAGTTTGTGTTGTATTTCCTTTTCGGAGAATTCCACCAGATAGTTCATAATGGTACATAATTTGATCTTGGTTGTTACAGGTAGAAGCATTCCATTTCATCAATAAATACGTCTTCTCCTTAACTGAATCGTTGATGATTGATGGCGCTGTTGAAAAATAAAAACCAGATTCTTAAAATTTAAAACATAATATAAATATTATACTACTACTGGTACTAGTACTACTACTAATATTATTTTATAATAACTTTCAAATTCGAACACTGTAGTTACCTTTCCTTGATGATTTATATACATACCCACATATATATCATATTCTTAAATGTTTAAAACAAATTATATATATATATATGTATATATTATATACACACTCTCTTATACACATCTTGTCTTTTTGTACAACAGAACTTAAGACTTTTCCTCATTTCTATAATGAGAAATCAAGTTGAAATTGCAACCAAAAACAAAAAAACCCGAAACTAAGTAATACTAAACAAATAAAAAACTCAAAAACTAAAAAAAAAGAAAACTGAGTTAGTGAGATTCGAACTATGGCGGCAAAGGTAATATCGAGGTAGGCCTACTTGGAGACTCATAACCATAAACATTGCGCGCGCTATATGAGCCGACTTTGTATAGGCCATTGCATTTTCAATATATCGCTGTGAAGAGAAATGCACTGGTCTATACAAAGTCGGCTCATATAGCGCGCAATGGTTATGTGTCTCCAAGTAAGCCTACCTCAATATTACTTTGCCGCCATAGTTCGAATCTCACTGACTTGGTTTCCTTCTTTTTTTTTAGTTTTTGTTTTTGTTTTTTTTTAAATTTTTTTAGTACTATAAGTATTTTGGGTTTCCATGTTGTTTTTTGATTTTTTTTATTTTAGACTTTTTGACGACATTTTTTGGTTGCAATTTTTACTTGATTTTTCATTATAGCAATGAGGAAAAGCCCTATGTTCTGTTGTACAAACCGACTATTATTATTATTATTATTATTATTATTATTATTATTATTATTATTATTATTATTATTATTATTATTATTATTATAGTTATAATAATAATAAAATTATAATTCTATTTATAATAATTATTATTATCATCATTATTATCATGATAATAATCTTAACATCTTATAGCCTAATAATAACACTAAAAGTGTATATTACCCGAGGGTGCTATTTGTACATGTACGTACTCGCCCCAAGCGCCAATAAACTCTTCGTTATTAATAACTCTAGAATCAACCACATAAGCAACACATTCTGATAATCCCAATATCTTGACTTCTGTTTGAGAACTGTCTGTTGTGTTGACGATGCCATGCTCATTTCCATCTTCGCTTCGGTATCGCACTTGGTATCGCAGTATGTAATCACACTGAATTCGCTCAGGAGCATGGGAAACAGGCTAAAATTAGAATTAAATTGGGGTCAAACAAAACTATTGTCGTATTTCACATTGGACAGCGGGAAAATCAAATGCTACTTGACTTGTTAAGTTGAAAAAGTGTCATGTGACAAGTACCAATTGCACTGTCGACAGCATAAAGAAGTTTACAAGATGAGTCAATGCATGAGGCCATATCGTTTACATAGACGAGAATAGTAGTGGTCCCAAAATACTACCTTGTGGAACCCCCCATGAAAAAATAGACAAAACAGACTTTACACCATTTATTTAAACAAGCTGCGATCTTTTAGATAAGTATGACCTGAACCAATTATGAGACTTGATACCGATTGCCTCTAGCTTAGATGTTATGGTCGACAGTGTCAAATGCTTTTTGTAAATCCAAAAGAAGCATTCCTGTCATATGTCCTTTTGTAATTTCACTCTTTAAATGATCCAGCAAGTGAATAAGGCATGAGTCTGTTGAATATGATTTTATAAATCCAGATTGAAATTTTAAAAGCAAATCATTATCTTTTAAAAATGTATACAGCTGATCGTGGATGGTCCTCCCTCATATCTTTGACACACAACAAATAACACGTCTGTATTCCAACTTCCATTCTTTCTTTTTTCTTATGAAGATGAGTCACCCTAGCAATGTTTAAGTCATCAGGAAAAAAACCTTCTGTGGCACAGGGATCAGAACTCGATGAAGTCTCTATACAACATGAGTAAAGTTCCCGCACGATTAAAATCGAAACGGTATGGGTTTCATCTGAGGAGGAACTCGTGCTTCGTGCAGGTCATTCCATTCACAGAATAAGCCTTTAATCGTGAAAGCGTACCTGTTATTAGCCATAGTAGCCTAGGTCAATATAGGCCTATATACATTGGAATGACTTACTTACCAACAATTGTAAGATGATCTCATTTCTTTCAACTGCTTTTAACTCTATTTCTGGTTTTTCCAAAGGCTCTTTTTGTAAAGAAATGAAATTATTATACAATTACTAATTTCTTCCAAATTAACATAAGAATTAATAAAAACAATAATGAAAAATAATGGTATATAGACGCCAAGCTAATTCATAACAGTTATTACCATCGACTCTCCGATGGAGATGTGAATGGACATATTGCAATAGCTCGCGCGTGTGGGTGTGTGTTCGCGGGTGTGCGTGGGGGTGGGGGTGTTGAGTTTGTGTGTACTTCCGGGCTCACAAATCTACTGGACCGATTTACTTTAAATTTTCACACATAGAGAATGTTACATGTATACAGCTTTTATTTGTGTGTAAAGGACCACAACTTACTTGTACATATAGTCTCTGCTAATCCATGTTCACTAGGTGGTCCATCGGTCACTTCACCACCAATTAATCTCGAGTGTTGCGTGTACAATTCAACAGTCGTATGTGGTAAGAGATTGTCGATGGTATATACACCGTTTTCAGTGTTATCAATGGTAGTGAATGTACTTTTCTGTGATGTTCTGTACCATAAATTACACCCAGATATATTTCCTGTTCCAAAGTCTTTAACTGGATCCCAGCTGCAGGCAGAAATCATCAGTGTGGTTGCTGTTTGATTCAAGAGTGCTGGCGGTTTGGAGCTGTAAGGTAGTGCTAATAATAATAACATAACACTCATTATAATACATATTTTAAATATATTAGGGTGGTGAAAAATACATTTAATGAATTAGCCTATACATAAGTATAATACGCTAGTTTTATAAGAGACAATAAATGGCTTAATTTTAGAAACTGCATTGTGATTTTACAAAATTGAGATTTAAGTTGAATTTAACACAATTCAAAGTAAATTTGAAGACGTGTATCATTACCTATACTGCAGTCCGCTCCAGCCCATGCTTTGTGGCATCCATTGTCACAGCTTCCATCACGATTACAATCTGCCGAGTCTTTACAATGACATGGATAGTTACACAACACACCAAAGAAACCAGACGGGCAAGCCTGATCCGGCATTAGTTCTAAAAGAAATTTCAGCATCATTATTTTACTTAAATGTTGAATCAAGAGTATAAATTAGGTCTATATTAACTTTTTAAACTCAGTTACCAATGGTATTGTTTCATATGCTATCATTTTTTGCATTTTCCTATTCGATTGTTTTTCTGTAGTAGGGCCTATCTGTTAAAATGGCTATTAAAATTAACGTGATTATAAACAAATACTTGTTTAATCATTCATTATTTTTTATATTGTTTACAAGAGTAATCAATGTACTCCTCTTCAACGACGTTGACACCGCTCTGACCCTGAAAATAGGCCTACACATTAAAATTATAAATTCTGAGATCATCATTTTATCTTTTCATGAAAGAGTTACATGCCTATCTGTCAACTCCTCTCCCTCAAAGCTTTTGTTCTTTACTCTGTAAAATGATAAATATTATGTGTGGTTCCTTAGCATCCCCTTCAAAGAACGTCAAATTAGGACTGACTGAATTAGGTTTTTGGGATTAAAAATAGAAAATTTACACACAATACCAAACTAATCATAAGAATAATAGAAATTCATTATAAATTCAGTTGTTTCATTTCATTTAGCTTGTAAAGTTATTGACTTCATTAAACCTCATAATGTGACTAAATAGCTCCATTTTTACACATTATTGGTAGTGGGAAGCTAAACAAGTAATACTTTTTATATAGTCTTACGGTACCTTTGTAGCACATGCAGATTAAGCACTTTAAATAGGAATATTATAATATTCTGATTACAGTACGGTTGACTAATTGAATTTTCTATTGAATGATTTTTATTGGATCGAAACTAGATATAATTAAAATATTTATTTACCATGGCTATTTATGTACATTAGTAGGCCTATTCCTAAGTAGAAATATTTGAATATGTTTGTTTCTTGAGAATCACTGCTGTTTTTATACAAAATAAATATAAGTGGAACTGTTAATACTCATAACATTTGACAACCAATTCATAAATATAACCTTGACAAGCTGGTCCCGTGTAACCGACCGAACACTTAGATGTAGGCCTACAACTCCCTGTTTTTCTATCACATTCTCCTGAATGGCAGTGACATACTTGACGACAACCTGCTCCATAGTGACTGCTATCACATGCTGAAAAATGACAATAGAAAACACATAGGCCCCATAAAAAATTATTAATTTATCACCCTATTAAAGAATTAAAACTGATAAGGGAGGGAGGTTTTTTTTTGTTTTTTTTTTTTGCTAACCCCGCCCCCAATTTACCGATGTTCGCAAGTAAATCAATGGTTAAGGACAAATTTAGTATAAAAAGTCATAAAAAATGGAATCAAATTTATATTTAAAAAGATGTTTTTGTTGTACCAGTAAACACATTTGCAAGAAATCCTGATGTTTCAAGTGAAAAAAGAAGGAAAAACGACTTTTTGAGATAAAAATAGGCCTAGCCCTATATGTTGATTGAAAAAAAAAATATCAGAATTTTCCCAAAAGTAATGAGGGAGGGGGTTTTGAACTAATAATTTTTTTTTATGGGGCCTTATTAGTCGAGCATAATTATTACATTTGTGTGAAGACATGTGACGAGAAATGTTTCGTTTATGTTTTCAATTAAATTTATGCAGAGTAGGCCCTTACTCGGGTTAGGCCTACTTGTTGGTGTCCTTGGCAAGGGTCGTTTTTCATACTCTGCCTGCCTCTATCTGGCGGGAGTTTTGGTATTCAATGCGCTGATTTATAGTGTTCATCATGGATTGATTCCTCACACAGGTGAATGCGTTTTACAGGTGTTCGACTGTGGTGATTAGCATATAATAAATACCACAGTCATATTGTAATTCTGTCATAATAGAGGGATTTAGCTATAAGCTGAATAAATATCGCTTGATTTTTCACTCTCATAATGAAAGAGAATATGTATTGAATGACCTAAAGAGTGAATATACCAGTCCACAAGAATATAGTGTTGTCGATTGTTTATAATCAAAGGCCGTATTCGACTGGTCGTTCCTCGTTAAACCACGCCCACCTGCGCAGCGGTAAAATCCTACTCAACGAAGACGACCAGTCGAAGAATAGATAACTTGTAAATACACTACAAAACAAAATGGCTGTAGTTACCGCGATACACGTTGCGTAATCAAGATTGCTTCAACTTGTGGTAGTATGGGTTTTTCGTAAAAAAATATTTTTATCCAGTTTTTGAATTCTGTTAGCCTTCAATTAATTTTTAACTCCATGTCTGTAAATAATATAATTTGTGTTTTATGAAATTTAATCTAAGTTATATTAACGCAAATGTTGTTTATAAACTCACCAATCGGCCATGTTTTTTTGGCCACGTGGATAACTTAACGCATACTGGTTTACGTTAATTTTCGTTGTTGTCAACGAACGAACCAGTCGAATGAAGATAATACTCAACGAAAATTCGTACTCAACGAAATGAACCAGTCGAATAAGCCCAAGTTCAACGCCCAAGTTAGGTCACGTGACACCCATGGCTAAATCCCTCAATTAGGACTGTATTTTAACTTTCCAAACCTGTATCGCACTTGGTGCCTGTGTATCCGTTGATGCACGCGCAGCCGACAGGATCAGGCGGACAAAAGAGTTGTCCACGACAAGCTTCATCTTTATTAACACCGCTACTACAAACGACATCACAATTACGTCCCCAGTTGTTCGACCCACAACCTAAACAATGAAGTAAAAACAGGAAGCGTAAATCGTAAAAAGAGAAATACAGTATAGTGACTTTGATAGAAGAATTAATAATCTTAAGAACATACTTTATTTTTAGAAAGTATAATACATACTCCAAGTATTGAAATACACGCCATCGTGTTTCAATACTTGGAGTATGTATTATACTTTCTTATCTGAGATTAATCAGTGGACCTTTCGGTTTACTTTATTTTTATTCAAATTTGACGAACACAGGCCAAAATAAAACAAACAATTTCATACAAATAACATTCAAAAATGCAGTGAAACAAGGTATACAATTCATACTTGATTCCGTAATGCTCCCATCTACTCCAATCCACCACACCCCTTCAATTATACAATAAATGAAGTTCCAGTGCATTGTAGTGAGACGATTGTAAATAATTCTAACAAATTGATAATACAATTCAAATTTAAAAAAAAACAAAACAAAAACAGTACAATATAGGCCTAATGAATTTGTATTAAACAAAGATTGACTTAATTCAATTATAACCCACCTCTCCCCCTCCCTTCCATACATTAACTACAGTTTCATGCATTGTAGTGTAACAAATCTAAGGTATGAAGTAAATAAATAAGCAAATGAAATTAGAAAAATGGTTAACAAAATAAAGCAACTAAAACTAATAAGTAATTATACTAACCAATATTCAAAATGCAACAATACAAGTAATAACATATTTATATTAAACTGATGTAGCCTTAATTTCTGATTTTGGACCATGCCATCTTGTAGTAATTCTTACAAAACTTGTCAAAGGATAAAAGACCATCCTCACTAAGTAATGTGTTTTCACCTCTTAGAACGAAATGGAGTTTTTAAAAGTTTATCTAGGTCCGATGATTGAAATATTTGCCAGATAATTCAAGTTAAATCTTATATTTAGTCCTATCAAACACACTACAACTGAAAAGAAAACGTTTAACATCCTCAACAACCACTATTACACGATGAACATAACCCAGAGGTTTCAATGACCACTTACTTGTTCTATCCAATTGCAATGTGTTTGATCTCAATTTGAATTTCAAACTAGCCAATTTAAAATCTGACATATCAAAGAAGATACCTTTCCAAGCATGAGTACTTTTGAGCTTGGCATAATCAACCAATGAGGATTTACTATAAAGGTTTAACTAGCCACTGTCTTTTCGATAGATCGGATATGTCTTTCATAACATTAGTTAGATGATGAACATTTAACGGTGCTTGGTGGTTAGTACCAAAATAGTCAAAGGACACTTTCAAAGAGATGCTCCTGGTCACATTTTTCACGAATAATAATAATCACGAATAACCAATTAAAAATTTAAATCCTAATTCTTCAAAAGTTACATTTAAAGATCAATATAGCATTTAACAATAATGTTGGCCAACGAGTTATATCCATGTTAATAATTCTATATAAAAATTTAATTTTACTCAAGTTTATGCATTGTAGATATTGGTGTCCACCCCAGTTCGCCATAAAAGGCTGTCTGTCTGATGTGTACAACGTGGGGCCTTAAGGCATCTGGTCATCTGCATTTGTAGGCGCTCAAACTTATATCATTTGAGATGCGCTACAGATCACACAGTACGTGCGTAGGCCTAACCAAATACATCAGGCATGCTTTTGGGACTACCTGTTTCGCAGTTCTCTCCTTTGAAGCCAGCAGGACAAATACATAAACCGGTCTTGTCGTCACAAACTCCACCGTTATAACACACAGGACAGTCTATCTCACATTCAGGGGGACTCCATTTTGACAATGGACAATCTAAGCAAATAAAGTAAAATATAAACAAAAAACATATAGAACATAAAATACCTACAAGGCTTATAAAATGTGTTCCTAAATGAGTCTTTCTCTACTCTAAATAATGATATAAAACAGAGGATTACCTGGTGACGTGCCCTTTTTTAAAGCAGAGAATTTCACTGTTCCCTGGTTAAAGCAAGACAAGTAAATAGTGAGAACCGATGGTACCGATGACTGTTTTACGTCATAGACACCCGAGACAATAAAAATGATCCTCTTACTATTTTTATCATTTCATTAACGACACATATATCATCAATATATCAATATCAATAAACCCAGGAGATATTTTTGTATGTTTATTTATTGAGGTATAATAACGACAAATACAAAAGGTATCCCAAAGCTAAAATGCTTGATTAACACTATATATAAATAAAAAATAAGGATCACCAATTAGGCTTATATAATCTATTTTATACGTAGATAGTCTACTATATGTAGAAAATACGTGTCATTTTTTCTGATCAAGTTTTTCTTCAATATTTGGGGGTGGAGGTGCAAGATAATTTTCTGGAAAATGTCCCCCGTGCCTCCCACTCACCCCAGCCCGTAGCACTGCCACTGAGTCTGTAAGCAATCAAGCAAGCAACATAGGCTACCGTATGTATTTTATGCCTAGGTAGGGCATACTATTTACCTCTAACAATGAGTCTCATTACTCCGTGGTTGTTATCGGGACTATCACCTCTATAACATTCATATACCCCGTCATCTTTAGCGCGTATATTTTCAATCGTTACGGACGAATTACCGGTCCACATTTGAATTACGTCACCGTAATTATGTCTCCAGCGTAAATCGTTATAACCGCTGCCTTCACTGAGATTGATAGTGACAGATTCTCCAATGCCGACAGTCATCGTTCGAAACTGCATTCTAATCTTGGCTGCGGAAGAATTCAAAATCCACCATAATTATTAATTATCTATTATTAGGATAAATTGTTTTGTAGTATCATGATCATTACATCGTTATAATGATTTTGATATGCTGTTTCCTTTCATGGATGTTTATTATTCAAACACGTCAAAAACAAGCCAAGGTGTTTAACTGACACATTAAAACAATCAAAATAAATGAAGGGTATTGATAAAAATACTGATTCAAAATGAAAAAATAGTTATTAACTCACCCAACGATGACGTCACAACAATTGCTGACCTAGATACCACTGCAGATTTAGAAGCTTCGAACGAAAACACACCGACTCTCTCAGAGATGGGTAAATTTGCAACACCGAGAAACACAAAAGTGTTATGTATCCTGTATACTATATCGCTACCTGTGCCAAATATTTTATTACCTGGCATGTCCGTTGTTTTTTCTTTTGTGTTTTCACTACCCAAATGTCCAGTATCAGCCCAGGTTACATTGTCCTTGTTATTCTTGTTCAGTATCCCGATTGATAAATCTGTTGTTTTGCTGTTTTGAAGCGCGTATCCACGGACATTTGAACTGTGTGGTGATGGTGAGAAGAATGTTATATCCAGTGGAGCTTAAACACAATAATAGGATTTTGTAATGTCACAAGATGAATTAAATTCATGTTATTTTTTTACTCACTGAATGTTAAAACTAAATGACTGTATATGCCTGCTGGACTAGTGATTTAGGGATGTCATGTTATTCCTGAGATGAGATTGTTATTTATTTATTTCCATGAAATTGATAAATTACGCATACGTATGATTGCTTGAATAAATAATAATATTATCAATATGGTCTAAGTGAGAAAATTAAACATACTGAGAAACACAAAAGTAATAAGAATACTAATAGGTAAAGGCAAAGTGGCAACATATGACAACTGCACATTACTATAGGGTTTGAAAATATAGTAATATATGTTTGTTTCTCTATTTGTTTAATTTTTCCACACACACACATCAGGTGTACTAAATACTACAACATGCAATGTGTAGATAAAGACCAAAATAACTTTGAAAATAAAATTTAGGTTATGACCAATAGTTGAAATGAAAATGCAATGAAATGAAATGGTGGATGAAACACCAACAAATTAATAAATAAAAATATTACACGTTCAACCAAGATTAGGAATGAGAATATAGCAGTATTAAGAAAAATAAAATAAAAGTAAATCGAATCGCAAAATACTCACAAAAACATAATTAATGAAATGTCAGTTGTCTACTAAAAGATCAACAATCTACATACATATGTGACGCTGTATTAATTTTGTTTTAGAAATTCTTTACTATATTATTCTTTCAAATTGTTCTTTATTTTTGCTATTATGCATCAAATATATAATACACAATCACAATTATAATACTTCATATTATTTTTTATCTATTTGACATCTAACAATAATTATATTATAAGTTTAAGAAAGATATTAAAAATAGAATAGTTAAAACTAGAGATTAAACTCTATAATAAAAAACTTATTTATATATTATATAATAATATATTGTCATAAAATATAACAAATAAAATATTTGTGTAAACTTACACAATCTGTATTTTATAAAATAAGAACAATATTTAATAAATAAACACGGAGTTAGCTTCTGCGTAAAGCCGTCCTACAGTACCTGAAAAATATGCTATCTCTAAGTGACGGTTGAATCACAGTAGGCCTGTCCTGTAGTCCAAACCCTTTACTGCTTCGAATAAAATCATTGATCGAATAAAATCGTTGGGAAATTGTTGATCTTCTATAACGTGCCTCTACATAAGTGACCGTGACTTTTCACGCATGATGTCGATAAACCTCTTCGTTGCTATTTTTCTTCCTCTATTTCTCCCTTGTTCAATATCCCCTTACACTTGGCCTATTTTCGATACCTTTATTTGACTGTATACTGAGAATTCTAAGATTATATTTATCTGATTTGTAGAGTATATCACGGTGTTCACTTGGATTACATAAATCACCACAAGTTCACGCACATAGCAACAGCAAATCAGAAAAAAAGTATTATTTTTCCTTATCTAAGCACATGCCTACATCAAATCAAATCAAATTTATTCAGTATCATATAGGCCTAAAAACAATTACGATACATAGACCCACACTAAACGAACATAGTGAAATTCAACATAATAATTCTAAGCTTACCTGCTGATTCCGTAGATCGGTACAAGCAGACCTTTATAACCATTAGGATAATGATCCACCTACATGCTGTACCATACATCTTTAGGCCTATTCTGTAACGATATAATTCCGTAGTCGGTGTACAAATCTGCGACTGTATAAATATCGTTCTACACTGTTCTATCACTAACTAGAATCCAAGTTCAGACTCAAAGTTTTTATTTGTCATTTACTTCCTTATGTACTTTAGATTAATATATTTACACAATATCACAATTGTAAAGCGTTAGTTAGCAATAGTTGCATTGGCGGGTGCATGGGATACAAACACAATCTGAGTTTGTTTTAATTATGGCTCTGTACAATTTTAGGAATATATAGGCCTACCCTCGTATGCAGACCTAATATTCTCGTTGGCTTTCCATTGTTCGTTTGTTAAGTAATCGTATCATAGCCTATCGTCATAGCCTTTCAACGGAAAGTTTTTCAGTTGTATGAAAAAATGTCTAGTGGAATTTGAACCTGCAGCTTTTTGCCATCAAGGCAGTTTGATATTACCGGACCTATAAGGTGTGTAGGCCTACAGAAGCATTATTTAACCCCAAGATATTTTCTCTCAAATAGGTTAACCAAAGAAGAAGCATAGGTAGCAGCAGGGAATCAGTAGTAGGCAAATTTATAGGTTTGCTGAGTAGCATCGTAACACAATATCAGATAATTAATAATAACAATGCTCGAATATGAATACATGATATAATAATCATGTCAAGCTTAAAATTTATCAACAAAAGTTGTAGGCCTATGAAAAAGTATCTGTGGCGGAATTCGTAACCGCAGCCTCTCGCTGCCAATGTGAGTGTGCAAAATAAGTTGATCTTAGGTAGGTTATAAATATTTTAGCGTTGATTTTGTGCTCAGCAAATTTCTGGAGGGGTGACTAGGTTGAGAAGGAATCGTTTTTTCGGAAAGGGTCTACCCTTCCAGCTACCATTGCCATAGGCACGCCAGTTTTAGGAACAATAAATTAAAAATGTCAGCTGATTTTGGGTGACAGAATGAACAGATTAATTTCCAAGCGATCAGTTTATATAGTAAAGTATATATATATATATATATACTTTTGATCCGACGAGCTCGTCGTGGCGTTCGGAGACAGGGGGTTCAGGAGATGGCCGAGGGTGGGGGGCGTTGGCATCCTACGTAACGCTGAAGTTAATCTATGCTAACATGTATGGTACAAGTTAAGTTGCTTTGCATAGAATATTACCGTTAGTTTGTTCACGTGTGTGTGTGTGTGTGTGAGGAAAGGAATATATGTTAGCCAATGCGGAATGTTGAACTGCGTCACTGCGTGTTGTTGATACTGTTGCAACCTAGTAGTCAGTAATTGTTCCCTGGTGAATTTACTCTTTATTGGTTTTATGAGTATGGTGTTTGGATCTGTGCAGTCAACTACATAATTATAATTATTCGGAACCCGCGAGTAGACTTTTAAATTCACGAAAAGAAAGTTGGGTAGGTTTAAACTATTGGTAGTTATTCAATGGTTAATGTGCATGTAACTAGCATGAAAACTGAAGGAGAGACAATGTTGATTTACATTATGTTATGACATCCCTTGTAATAGGCCTACCTTGTGTTACATTTATGACGTAATCGATTAGAGGTTGTCGCTGGAGTAGGCAATTGTAATTATTAACAATTACATTTCTTAATGTAAACGTCAATGTAATCTAGTTTTAACTACGATGAATAACAATACTTGAAAACTTGGAATGAAATAATAATTAATATATTTTTTGTCATAATTATATTAATACGGCCCATTTATTCCATTTAGCAATCGAATAATCCTTAATGTATTTTCATTATATTGATATGTCCAATGTATGGTATTATTCGATTGCTAAATGCAACCGATTCTACTTAAATGATCAGTTTCGGTGACAAATACGATGCTTATACACTTCTACTGTCACCAGTCATCAATCATCTGATCAGAATCCCTAATCAGTTTCAGGCCCCTATCCGGGGGGGGGGGGGGGGCGTTGGGGGCGTACGCACCCCCCCGGGGTGCGTTGGGTGCGTACGCACCCCCACCCCAAATCGAAAAACGTCCACTAATTATAACCGAAAAAAATGTGACCTTGTTCCCAGAATCATTATGAAATGAAAATTTTGTTCTTAATTTTTTCCGCAATTTCGACAGCCTCATTCTCATAAAATGTGCTCTTATAAAAAAATGTAAGTGATGTTTCTATTAAAACGTACAACGTTACTCGTATCATGATGATCCTTTTATACAGTATACCCCGTCACGGATTCAATGGATAGATAGCGTATACATACAGTATAATTATGCTTATACCTCTGTATATGTTTTCTGTCGATGCCAAGAATAAA